ATGACGCTTGAGCTGACTGTGAAAGGACAGTTTCGCTTTAGGTACAGGGAGATGGGATGCAGGTACAGTGTGGGCAGAAGAAATAGCAAAGGAACAGAACCAGGACATGGTGTGATCTCTTTGGAGATTCCGTGCGGAAGCCAGTTTGATCAAAGCCGAGCAGAGAGAGGAAGAAAACCAGGATCTGTGTGCCCTTTCCATGCCGGGAACTCTCCTGGGGGCTTCACATCTGTGGGTCTCTAAATCTTTGTACTAACCCTGTGAGGTAGCTTCTAGTAAAACATTGAGTTTAAAAGATACTCTTTTTAAGAAGAGGGAACCTAATTTCAGAAATCACAACATGCTAACTGATCAGTGAAAACCTGAACCAGGCGATGGGGAATAGAACAGTAGAGACATTTTAGCAATCTGCTGGAGGGAAATGCAGGGGGGGGTGGGGGGTGGGGGGACTGATTGGTTGTGACAAGGGGAGGGTTGCAAAACGTAACTTCAGGTTTCTAAGTGCCTATGAAATTGGTGGTGCCAGTAAGAGAAAACAGGAGAGGAGGAACAAGTTTGAAGAAAAGGTGTTTAATTTACTTGTAAGCATCAATACATGGAACTTAGAGAAAGCAGTGAGAGCAAACAATGTTGCTAAGGAAAGTGTAGAAGAGAAAGCAAAACAGGAAGTGAGAACCCAGGCTGTCTTAGTGTACAGAACAAACCTCTTCCAATTTGTCATTGTGGAAAATTTCAAACTACTCAGAAGTTAAGAGAATAGTTCAGTGAACCCCCGTTATCTGTAGTCAAATAATCACCTGGATCTCCTCACACTCCGCTCCTCTTATAATTTTGAAACAAATCTCTAGGAGTTGGGACTATAATCTATATTTGTATGATTCTGAATTTTGTGTGTTTTTCCCAATACCTTCCCTCCTTGACAAAGCCTCATCCAACCTCTGCCTGAATATTTCTAGAGACAGAAGGCATGCAATGCACTGAGATAGCTGTGTCCATATTTTGACTGGCCCTCATTGTTGGAAAGTTTTCCCTTTTATTGAGCTGAAAACTAGCAGATTTATTACTTTGGCAAGGACACACCAGCCCATGCTAAAGTCAAGAGTAGATTTAGACCTCAGAATATTTTTATATTGGGCTTGTAGTAAAACCGTTTTTCTCTAAAGATCATAGGGTTTGCAAACATTTTTTTCTGCTGCCATGTGATGGAGTTGTCACCAGCTGGCATTCAGGGTGCTTTTATAAGAGCAGCCTTGAAAAAACATCTTAGCACAAAAACATATTTTAGACGTTAAAAAAGATTCTGTCAGATTCACATGAGTCAAGAAAGCTTAGCTTCTCTTGTAGGTGTAAATTTTAATTACATATGTTTTAAATGTTACCAAAGTAATCCACATTTTTAAACTAAATGTTTTTTTCTTTTAAACTTTTACTGAAGTATATAATTCACCACTTAAAAAATGCACTAATCACAAAAATTCAGTTCAGTGAATTTTTACAAAGTGAATAGAACAGCACTCAGCACAAACAATAGAATGTTACCAGCAACCAGGAAGTCCCTGGAATGTCACCCAGTCCCCACCTAGCCACTGCTCTGCCTCAGTAACCACTGTCCTGACTTTTACCACCATTGCTTTCTTAGTTGTTGTGGGGTTTTGCCTGTTTTTGAACTTGATATAAATTGAGTCATACTGTGTACACTCACTGTTTTTTAGCTTCTTTGGCTTAATAATATGTGAGATTAGTCCATGTTACTGTATATAGGTGTAGTTATGTTTGCTGTGGAGTATTCCACTGTGTGAATGTACCTCAGTTTATCCCTTCTGTTGTTGATGGACAGTTGGATTCGTGCCTTTATGAATATTCTTATACACATCTTTTGGTGAACATTTTGCACATTGCTATTGAATGTATCTAGGAGTAGGATTGTTGGGTTATTGGTTACACATTTATTCAAGTTTAGTAGGTATTGATGTACAGTTTTCAAAGGAGTTGTAATAGTCTACATTTATAATAGTTTTACATTTGGTATTGTATGTATTGTCCTCTTCAACATTTGATATTGTCTGTCTTTTCATTTTAGTTAATGTACATAATTTAAAAATCAAATTTAAAAAATTAAATATAGTGGAAGGACTTAAAATGAAAATCAGCAGTTACTTCTAAACCCTCTACTTTCCTTCCCTAAGTCACACTTTTCAGAAGCAACAATTTGTAACTATAATATCTCTGTTTTTAACAACTTTTGAGAGGCAGTAATTAGGAATGCAGATTTTGAAGCCAACCTGCCATTCTTATCTTGGCTCCCCTACTTACTAACAGTGTAGCCTTGAGCAAGTTATTTAACCTCTGTGTGTCTCAGTTTCTTCATCTACAACATGGGGATTAATTAGAGTACCCATCGCATAGAATTGTTGTGAGAATTATGATGTTGCTTTTCTATTGTGCAACAATGTCATACAGCTATTCTTGTTGCAACAACTTTACACATTGTCTATTGATGGACTTCCTACTAAGACAGATAAGGACTTAGATAAGTCATACCCTTTCTCACCTTCCCTCTGCCTTTTCCCATTCTAGCTATATCACTCTTTTCAATTCATTCATTGAACTGCATCCTTACTTATGTATAATTGATAACAGAGTTCAATCTTGCTTGATTGGTCTTTGTAGTGACATAATTATAATATCTGTATAATTTTCTTATTGCAGAGCTGCCTAATATGCAGATTTGTTTCTCTATATTTCAGTTTCAAAATTTGTGTGCCATTCAAAGCAGTATGTCCCTAAAGTCAAGTTTGAATTTTTTTGTTCTCTTAACTAATTAATTGCCTTAACTAAATTTTCAAGATTTAATTGGAAAATTAACCTCTTCTTCTTATTCCTTCTGCCTATCCTATTTATTCCCCTTATTGCCTGGAGATCTCCTTCCTGGAATTTTCATCACCTGCTCCAAACTGGGCTTGTGACACACTTGTCATCCTGGTTTAGGACATCATTGCTTTCGTGACTTGGAGCCACTGTTTTCTGGATCAGTTTCTTCTTTTTTGCGTTATGCCCTCATTTTGCTGGCACGTATCTTGTAACTTTTTAATAAAGGATGCAATCTCCAGCAGGCTCTTTGTTCTCTCTGAACCTGTTTCCTTATCTGTTTGAAATGAGGAAATGATTTGTAACTATGCCTCACCATGTTACCATAAGGTCAAGCACAATAATATATGTGAAACCATGAGTGTCCTTGTCCGGTTCCTTCAGACCGGGTTTAGAGCATGTGTTCCAGCAGAAAACGGGGGTAATCAAATCAGCTTCAGGGACTAGAGACCAGGCTCCGGACTTTCATTTGAGTTTTGTTGTGGACTGAATTGTGTCCCCCAGAATTCATATGTTGAAGCCCTAACCCTTAATGTAACTGTACTTGAGCTAGGGGCTTTAAGGAGGCAATTGAGGTTAAATGAGGTCATAAGCCCTAACCCATTAGGACTGGTGTCCTTATGAGAAGAGGAAAGACACCAGGAGTATGTGTGCAGAGAAAAAAAACCACGAGAGGATACAGCAAGAAGGTGACTGTCTAGAAACCAGCTCTTTTGGCACCTTGATCTTTGGCCTTTCAGCCTCCTGAACTGGGAGAAAAATCAGTTTCTGTTCTTTAAGCCATCCAGTAATATAGGTTCCAATTTTGGCTTCAGTGTATGTAGTGTGTGTGAGACTTGTAAGACTGTTTCCTTATGTACAGTGTGCTACGCCTAGTTTGGGGGTTGTTGTAAGGATTAAGTGAATAAATAGTCTCCCCCCTTCTGTGGGGATAAGTACCAGGACCCCCAGCAGATGCCTGAAACTGCAGATACTACCGAACCCCATATACACGTATGCTATGTTTTTTCCTATACATACATACCTATGATAAAGTTTAAAGCCTTTTCCATCTTAATTAAGCACTTACCGTGCGCGGTGGCCATAACTTGCAGTTTGAGATATGACAGCAAGACTACTACAAACTTCTTTTTTCTTCTTCACAATTTCATTGATAGAAGATTTGTTCTTACCAAAGATCTTAGCAACCTCAACATACGATTTTTTCCCTTTCTTTATTATGTCGAGAACTTTCACCTTTTCATTTAAAGGAAGCACTTTATGGCTTCTCTTTGGTATATTCAAATTGCCAGCATCACTACTCTCTCTCTTTGGGGCCATTGTTAAGTAAAATAAAGGTTACTTGGACACAAGCACTTCAGTACCTCCACAGCTGATCTGATAACCATAACAGTATTTCTCTCTATCAATATCTTTCAGTATAAACTGTAGGAGGCTATTCATATTTTCTAAATGTTTATTTCATTTTTAATGTTGGACTTTTACAAATCAGCTCAACAAATACTTGAGTCCTGAGTGTGTGAGGATGGGGTACAGACAGTTGTGAAACGAGGTCACATTTGAGATTTCAAGGCATAAACACACAGCAGTATAAATAACTGCACAGTAAAACAGAGGGAAAGCAATGCTGTGGTCTGTTGTGGTCTAGGACCGAAAGCTGACCCTTCTTGTGGGAGGTGTTTAGGGCTTGGATAGGCTTGGAGGAGTAGAGAAACCTCCAGTTGGTACTGTAAAAGAACAGGACTAGTCGCTATCCATCATATTGTTTCCATGGAACGGCACATTCTGGATTTTGATCTTGTCCTGGAGGAACTCTTCCCAACTGGTCCAGAAAGAACCTCTCTCCTGCCCCACCCACATTTCAGGGCCTACTGGTGATCTCTAGATTTTCTTTTTCTTTGTTCTAAGTGTCCTGCCTTGTCATTTAGAGCATGCCAAAAAACCAGGCGGTGTGGGTGCCCAGAGAAAGCACCTTGCTGCCAGTTATGGGGGAGTGTGGCAAGCATGGGTTTTGTCGGGCATGTGCAGCATTAGGTGTTTTGTGTTGTTTTCCTACAGGTGGGCTTTGTTACTGTGTTTTAAACTGTGTTGTTTATTATTCAGAAATTTAGACTTCCCTTTACTTTTGTCAGGTTTAAGCCGTTTTTTCCATTCCAAACCTTGCAAGGATTTGAAGAAGAAGAGGAGGAGCATATCCATATACAACAGTGGGCACTTACTGAAGGTCGCCTTAAAGTTACTCTGTTAGAATGTAGCAGGTACGTTCTGCGTTTTGTCATTACTGTGTCAGGGGAAAGAAAGAAAATGCTGGGAAGATGTACTTAAGCAGTATTTGTGTTTATTCCCCCTTTGTGTTAATTTATTTTGTATTATCTGTAAACTCTTAAATCATAAATTTCATATGATGGCAATTTTCAGCTTGCAAAAAATATAAAGCATATTTTAGAAAGCATTCTACTGGGGGGGAGGGTCATTTTTCTGTGATTCCCAGTTTTTGATGCATGATGCCCTGTTGGCATATTTCTCACTCACTACCTATTGGAGAGCTGTTCATAGCATAACAGTTTTGAGAATTGTTTGTGATAATTGGAAATACCCAGGATGTTGCAAAACCAGACTTGGAAACCCCTATGATTCTTAAAATTGTAGAGCTGGAAGGGAACCTCCGAAATTATCTTGCCCGGACTCCTTATTTTACTTTACCAGCCCCATAGTCTAGGCTGTGTTCATCTCTTTCTTGAACTACGCACTGCACTGGCCTCCTTATGTCAATGGAAGAACATCCAAACTTGTAGAGAATTTTTATAAGTTTATTTGAGCCAAACTAACAACATGCCAGAAAGCAAGATCTCAGATGTGCTGGAGAATGACAGTTTTGCAGTGTCTTATACATTTGGAATTAAGGAGGGACTGTAAGGAAGACACATGAAGGTGGGAGAAAGCAAGGCGCAGGATAGTTATCAGGACCGGGTGCTCCCTTGAGGGTGGTTACGCCTCCAAGAGGTCTAAAAAAAGAGGATTCCTCTGCGTTTCAAAGGTGTGTTAACCTGATACACAAGAACAATGGACAGGGCTTGCTTAAGGCAAAGATAATCTATTTATAAGCCTGGGGCCTGCCTGCCCGCTGACCTGCCCAGTTAGGGATGTCTGATCAGATCACCCTGTGAGGTTAAATTGGTAACATTTTTCACCGAGCTCCTTTTTTTGTCCACACTTAACTCCTAACACTCATTACTAATACAACAGTCAGAATGAGCTCTTTAAAATGCAAATCTAGTTGTCACTCTTTAACATTTAATGGCTTCTTCATTACTCTTGGAATATAGACCCAAATCCTTGCCATTGCCCATGTGCCCCTCTTACCTCTCTAGCGTCTGTCTCTGCCTAGCCCCTCAGTCACAGTGCTTCAGCCATATAGGTCTTCCTAAGGGAAGGTGTTAGCAAACTCTTTCTCTAAATGACCCGATTAGAAATAGTTTAGGTTTTATGATTCACATGGCTTCTGTTGCAACTACTCAACTCTGCGTAGGTAGGCAACAGGTAAACAAATGGACGTGGCATGGCCGTGTGCCCATAACTTTATTTATATGCATTTCATAATTTTCGTGTGTCATGAAATATTCTTTTTTTCCCCAACCATTTAAAAATGTGAAAACCACTGATAGCTCACAGACCATACAAAAACTAGCAGGGGGCTGGATTTGGCCTGTGGACAACCATAGTTCACCATCCCCGGCTGTAGACATTTTAAAGCACCAACCTCCTTGTGTGGGCTCCCCACTGTTTTGCAGGCTGAAGGCTCTACCCCATTTTCTGCTCCTTGAAACCAGCCTTTGTGTTTACCGCCAAAGCTACCTCCTTAAGTGTGTCTCCTCATCATTCCAAGTACAAGTATACTGTCCTTACACCACATCTCTAAGACGTTTGTAGCACTTATTTGGTATTTAACACTTCTATTTTTATTTCCAACTTGAAAACAAGTGCTTAAGTACAGAGGTTATATTTTTGTACCTAATATATTTGTGTCCTTGCTAATAATTAGGTTAATTTTGAGTATATTAATAATATAAGTATTGTTTTAAGTCTTGGAGTGACTCATTGTGCCCCATTAGATCAGAAAATCTGAAAAGGAATTCATTTATTAAAGAAAGACTAAATACACTGTAAATTTTGTAAAATGAACTTCAGTGTACAGTAAAATAACATACAATAAAAACTTAGCTCTACACAAGTCTGAATTTGAAGTCACTAAGCTAATATGCCACGGAAAGCATGAGCATTAAATATATAATTATAATTTGGTTTTGTCATATTAACATTTAGAAGCATATTTTTCCAGTGGCCTGTGTCAAAGTAAATTTTGAACTGATGCTTTTTTTTTTTCTTTCAGTAAATGTCGTATAGATCCATAGGCTTCAGAACCATTCTATTGGATTACCTTTCCCAGAATAACCATAGCAACTTCTAATCATTTGAAGGACAGTTTTTCACAAAATTTCTTGACTCTTCTGTTATTAATTCCTGTCTAGCTACTCATCCACCCATTCCCCAAACTTGCAAAGATAGCCTTGAAGGAGATTTATTTATTTATTTATTTTATTTGTTCATTCGTTTGTCCACCCACCCATCCATCCACCCATCCATCCATCCATCCATCCATCCATCCATCCATCCATCCAATTTACCTGTTGTGAAGTTTTGAGAGTGAATTTTGCCAACGAGGAAAAAATTGTATTCATAAAAAAACTGTTTATTGAAAATAATGGAGTTCTTGTACAACTGGAAGCTTTATGCTTCAGGAGCCAACATGAAGTGGAAATAATTGAGTGAAATAATTGAAGTAAAAATTATTTTTGAGTTAGGAAGTGCTGTCTTTACATCCTAGTTATATTTTCTTTTTTTTTTTTTTTAAAGATTTTTTTCGGGGAATTGGGGAATTCAGCGTTGGGGAATTGGGGGAAGGGGAACAGACAAGTTGCTGTCCTTTTGTTCTTCAGTCTAGTTGTGGAGGACGTTGCTTCACTGGCCCAAGTTGGCACCATCATTGCGCTCTTCCCGGGTGAGGCAGATCAGTCGCCGGCTTCTGGACAGTTGCTCACGCTGGCTGCTGGCCGCTCATGCTGGCTGCTGGCTACACACGGTAGCCCATGGCAACCCACTGCAGCAGGGGCTGCAGCCTACGGCATCGCCGGCGACTCACGGCAACCCAGCTCCAGGTTGAGCTATTGTTCAGCATCTTAGCTGTAGAGGGCAGTGTCACTGGCCCTCATATGTGGGATCCATCCGAACCGGGGCCCTCTGGCATCCCAAGCCAGCTCTTAACCAACGCTCCACTCAGCCGGCCCCCTAGTTATATTTTCTTAGGCAAGTTACACATCCTTAAAATGGGCAAGGGTGTCACCTTGTTGGTAATTGTGATCAGAGACAGGTAAATAAACCACAGTGCCTCCCACATAGTAAACTGTCAGTAGGTGTAGCCTCTATTATGCGTTAATATAATCATTGTAGTGTTTATCAAGAAGATAACGGGGCCAGCCGAGTGGCTCAGTTGGTTAAGAGCTCGCTCAAGAGTTTGAGCTCTGAGCAACAGCGGTTCGAGTCCAGCCCGAGCTGAGCAGCCGCTGAGTTGCCAACAGGTAGCAGGATGGCTCAGCTAAAAAAAAAAAAAAAAGAAGAAGATAACAGGGCCGGCCAATTGGCGCGTTGGTTAAGAGCTGGCTTGGGACACCAGCTCTGAGCAGTAGGGCCCCTGTTTGGATCCCACATTACAGTCAGTGACACTGCCCTCTACAGCTAAGATGGCAAACAACAGCTCGACCTGGAGCTGGTTGCCAGCGAAGGCATAGGCTGCAGCCTCTTCTGCAGTGGGCTGCCATAAGCTACCGTGAGTGGCTGGCAGCCAGCGTGAGCGACTGGCAGCAGGCGTGAGCTACCAAGAGCCGCCTTGAGCGGCGGTCCAGAGGCCAGCGACCAATCTGCCTCATTCGGGCAGAATGCAATGATAATACCAACATGGGCCAGTGAAGCGACGGCCTCCACAACTAGACTGAAGAACAAAAGGACAGCAACTTGTCTGTTCCCCAATAAAAAAAAAATAAAAAATAAAAAAAAGAAGAGGAAAACTAATCTTTAAACAAACCTTTTTTGCATATTTGGTTGTGACAGCTTGAACTTGAATTTTATCAAAAGGGCCTCACACTGTAAAGGGAGGTTCTTTTCTAATGATCTGAAATAGAGTTTTGAAATTCCCAATTAAAAACTTAAGGATGGAAACACAATTTTGTTTATAAAAATTGTTTCTACCACTTTGCTTGTGTCAAATTTTTTAAAAACAGTCATTCTGAACAGTTGCATTTTTTTTGCGTTGACTAAAGTTGATTTCTTAAGTGACAGATGAACTCAATTGCCGTATTTGTAGTACTGCTATTAGAAGACTAATTATTGCACGTTAGTGTTACAGTCATATTGTTAAGATTTTTATTTTTGACTTATAATTTATAGTCTAAAAGGATTTGAAGTTTCTGTCTTATAGTCTATCTTAAAGTACATTTGAAGGATAGTCTTAAAGGATTTTTCAAAGAAAACATATGCCCATGTGCAGTTACATAGAATATAAGTTAGATTAAAAACAACCATATAGAGAAGAGATCAAGTTTCTGGCAGCAAAGGGAGCTTAATGGGTTACTTAGCTCTCATTTTCTGATAAACTTGAGGGGAGAGAAATCCTGGCACCAGATTCTAGGAGAGGTTTGTCATATCTTTATGTGAAAGACATTGGGATGAAGTAATGGATGCATTTTCTTCCCTTTGGCTGGTTTTATCAACCAGTTGTATTTTAAACAGCAAAATAAGATTATAGTCAGTGAAGGCAAAGCCTTGAAGTTTTGATGTGTGAAGAGTTTTGTACTCTGAAGCCTGTCCTAATTATAGATAGATTCTAATTAAGGTCAGTTCTTCACTGAGTCAGTCACACTTACGAGTACACTGTTTTAAAGGCTGTGTTTTCTCAGCAGCTTTTAGAATGTTGTTTTGTTTTACTGGATTCCAAAAATACATTGTTTAAAATTTTCTTTAATGTTAACACAAATACAGAGAATCACAGCAGTTGACATTCTTCTGCTCTATTCCCAAGAGTCCTTCCTGCCTTATTCCCCAGTTATCTATTATCAGCACAGACTCAGGGATTTTTATATTTTTCAGTATAACTCTTTACTTTTATTAATTATTTTGTGCCTCAGTTGTCCCTGATGTGGTCACTAGGAACCTCTTCAAATTGACTTTGTATTCTTGTGACATCACCCTCCTCCCCCTTTTTTTGAGGTCTTTATTACATTCTGGTTTAGCAAGCTGTTTCAGGTTCATTTTTCATTTTCTCTGCCACACTCCTAGAATCAGCTATTTTACCAAAGAGCAGGGTTCCTTTTAGCAGAGAATGATATTACAAATCAAGATCTGGGTGTTGGGTATGTTCATTGCTACCTCATGTATTACTTCATATGTTCATAGGCCCCTTCAGTGGAGAAAGTGTGAAATACATATATGTATAGACATTCATACATACATGCATACATACACATGTACACATACATGATTTAGAAATCATGCGTTCACCCGATACTTCCAATTCTAGTTCGTCCTTATAGGGTTGTTCCTTGCTTTGGTTCTGTCCTCGTTCATATTGTTTAAAAAAATTTTTTTTAACTTTTTTTTATTGGGGGACAGTGTGTTTTTCCATGACCCAACAGCTCCAAGTCAAGTCGTTGTCCTCAATCCAGTTGTGGCGGGTGCAGCTCACTGGCCCATGTGGGAATCGAACTGGCAACCTTGGTGTTAAGAGCCTGTGCTCTAAGCACCTGAGCTAACTGGCTGCCCCTCTTTTATATTTTTATGTCCCTTGAACCCTGGCTTCAGTAACATCAGCAGTTTTACTCATTTGCTCAATCCTATAATACATCTCAAATAGTTTCAGAATTGCTTTGTCCATACAAATACAGAAAACATACTTACTAAAAGGGATTCAGGATTTATTTGCAGTTCTCCCCTACACCACCCAAGATTGAGGGTGTATGGTCAAGTACTGCACAGTTACATGCTGCATAATGACATTTCGGTCAGCAACACATCACTTATATGATCGTGGTCCCAGAAGGTTATAATGGAGCTCAATTTCCTATAAGAAATGGAAGGATATGTGGTTCAGGAGGAAAAATTTTTTTCTCTCTCATGGGAGCAGTACCTGTTTCATCACAGAGGAGCCTGTCCCCCCAGCACTACATATTCTGAGGGCATTACAGCCCCCCCAGGTCTAGCCTGATGGTTTTCAGAAAACATTGCTATAAATTCTTTGTTGAGGACCTAAGATCCTGTACCAGGACACAGGTCCACAACAGCTACAGCCTTAGCAGGTATTAAGTGCCAATGCCACTTCGGTAAAAGCTTTGTGTGGTGGTGTGGAGCCAGCCTGTCCAGGGACCCCAGCAACATGCTGTAAGTTTTGTAGCCTAGGAGCACTAGGCTGTACCGTATAGCCCAGGTATGTGGTAGGCTCTCCCATCTAGGTTTGTATAAGCACACTCTATGATGTTCATGCAACGATGAAATTGCTTCACTATGCCTTTCTTAGAACATATCCCTGTTGTTAAGTGACGCATGACTGCATTTGTAAATTAGACTAACTTTTCCCCTTCAGAGTGATTATGTTATTCATTTGAAGTATAGCTGGGTTTACTTGTTTCAGTTTGCTTTCAGTTTCAGTGTACCCCCAACTCCTGCCTTTCCATCCTTGATTCTTATTTTTTATGTATAGAGCATGAACATGCTTCCAAAAGCCAAAACTACAAAAATATATACACACAGTTCTTACTCAGCATGGCACGGTGTTAACCCAAACCTTGCATATCAGAACCGTGCAAAGTGGGGACATAATTCTGATATGTAGGTAACACAAAGCGAGGACTGCCATTCGGAATCTTCTGTACGTTTACTGATTTTTTTGGTCTAGTTTTGTCAATTATATAATAAAGCGTGGTGCTCAAATCTTCAGCCACGACTCTGAATTTATCTCTTTTTTGTAGTTTGGTTATTAGGTGCATATTTCTTCTTGATATATTGACCCTTTTATCAGACTTTTTTTGGAATTCACCTGTCCTGGGTCTATATAGGTTGCCTTTTCCTCCCCCACATTCTCTTCCTAAGGTTATTGTGTTGGAAAATAATATTTGTTTCTTTTGTATTTAAATACCTTCATTGCTATTTCACATAGCAAAATGTAGCTGTTTTAATTCTTCTGATGTCTGAATTGTAAAAAGAATTGAAGAAAATTAAGTAGAACCCCAACTGACATAAAACTAAAGCAAAATGCCAAACTCCAAGATGTTTTAAATGTGACGTTGGCATGCTATATACTTATATACAATACCGTCAACAAAAGCAAACTGTGAAATGAACTGTGGTCAGAAAATAAGAATTCAAAAGAGTCTTTAAAATAGTCTTTGAATTTTTCCTCTCTTTGTACTATTATGCCATAACTGTCAGTCAGTGCTTCTAATGTATTTTATTTGCAGGTAGGATTCATGATTTTGTCCAAAAGATAACTGCCTCTTTTTCTTTTTCTGTCAAAATCTCTTGAACTCATTCATCACAATTTATGTAGTCCATACTCTTCACTAGCTGTGTTATCTTGGGCAAAGTATCCAACCTCTCTGTGCCACAATTTTCTAATCTGTAAATTAGGGTAAAAATATTGTCTATCTGGTAGAGTAATCATGAAAATCGAGTGGAATAGTACATGTAAAAGCTCTTAAAACTGTCCTTCAGTCAATGTCAGCTTCTACCACCACTGCTACCAGTTCTTCCGCCACTGCCACTATCCGTAGTGAAGGCATTTTGTCTAAGTACGACAGAAGATTGTCAAGTCAAATGCCTTTGCTCTAGAAACTTAAAATGTAATTAGGACTAACAGACAAAACAAGTAAGCTGACTACATAGGCTGTCTCATTTGAATTGAGGTTTAAATAATAAATACTATAGAAATTTAGTGCAAGGAAAAACTATTTTGGAATTGAAGCCACTGTGGAACACTTCATGGATAAGAGGTATATCCATTTTATGTACCCATTCATCAGTGGTGGGACATACAGGTTGCTCCCGTGTTTTGGCTCTTATGAATAATGCTGCTGTGAACATTTATGCCAAGTTTTTGTGTGCTCTATATCTAGGAGTGGAATTTCTGGGTCTTATGTTAACTCTATCTTAACTTTTTAAGGAACTGCCAAGCTATTTTTCAAAGTGGCTGCACCATTTTACATTCCCTTCAGCAATTAGGAGCGTTCCAGTTTCTCGACATCTTCACCGATCCTTGTTATTGTCTCTTTATTATTTATCTAGCGAGTGTGAAGTGCTATCTTATCATGGTTTTGATTTGCTTTTCCCTGATGTCTAGTGATGTTGAGCATATTTTCATATGCTTATTGGCTGTTTGTATATCTTCTTTGGAGAAATGTCTGTTCATATCCTTTATCTGTTTTGAAATTGGGCTATACTAGATAGACCCTTATGAGATACATGATTTGCAAATATTTCTTTCATTCTGTGGATTGTCTTTTTGCTTACTTGGTGGTGTCCTTTGAAGCACAGAATTTTAATTTCAGTAAGTCTCATTTATCTATTTTTTCTTTTGGTACTTGCACTTTTGGTGTCCTATCTTAAACCATTGCCTAATTTAGAGTCACAAAGATTTGCTTTTATATTTTTTCTCTTACATTTAGGTCTGTGACTCATTTTAATGAGTTAATTTTTGTTAAATTTTGCATTATTTTTTTTAAAAACATAAAAATGGTGTTATGAACAATATAGAATAACATGATTTCAAGGGAGGATTCCAAGAATTATGCTTTCTTGATCCTTAATCAAAGGATTACTATCTGTTGGGACTGGGTGCACGAGCTGGTGCATAGCTTTCTCTGCGAGGTAGGAAAGGCCCTTAGGTAGTTTGCTCTTTTGAACAGATGGTGGCAGCAAAGCTTTGATAAATGAAAATTCTTATTTTTCTAAACTTACCATTTTATAATTGCGAATCTTCTTAATGTTTTTGGCAATAGGTTGTTAAGCACTGTTTAAATTTCCTTTTAGATTAAAAATTATTTAAATTTAGGGATTTTTTTTTGTCATGACTTTATTCATGGTTTTCCATGTATGAAAGCCAGTTTGTGAAGTATGGACATGATTTGCTTGAGGTCTCCAACTGTATGTTTTCTATCCACTTTCTTTCATTATCTCACTCCTATCCCCATGATCTTCATGTAGAGAAAAAGCAACAGAGTATTAGTCGAGATGTTGATTAATGCTAAAGCTATTCTCAAGCTTACTCCTAAAACATATTGGCAGACTTATGTTCGGATTTAGAAGATATAAGAGAACTTGGACATGTGGATAACATTTTTTTCCTTCAGTAATAAAAAGTGCTTTATATCATGTCAAGATTGGACCTGAGATTTCCTTTTTAGATCTGAATATTAAGCCGTAACATTAAGTGGTGCAATTATTCCTTGACAGCCGTTTTCAAGATAATAGAAATAAACATTTATTAAGCACTTACTGTTTGCTAGCCACTATGCTAAATGCTTTGCATGTATTATTGTCTTCTTTTACTCTCACTTCAGCTGTAAGAGATTAAGTACTATTTTTGCCCTGAATTTTTCAGAGAAAGAAATGGGCTTAGAGAAATTAAAAATTTGCCTCAGGTCACATTCGTAGATGGAGAAGTGTGTGTGTATGTGTGTGTGTTCATAAGCAACTATTTTGTTAAAAAATGTTGTGCTATTTTATATCGGTTTAACCTTTATAGAGATGGTATTGTACTATATCTAGTTGCATCATTCTACAATGTGTTTTTTAAATTTAACAGTCTGATTTTAATGATTTTTAGCCCTTATTACTATGTGTAGATTACCTGGTCAGTTTGCTTACCTAGTGAATACATACTACTTTCTATTTGTTTGATTTAGCTGCTTGTCCTGGAATTTCACCTAATCTTAGCTTTACTTCACTTTTCCACTAGAGGGTGTACCAAGTGTTTGATTTAATATTTTTTCTTGTACCAAGATTATTATAGTAATGGACTAGTTTATTAGTTCTTGGTGTAATGATCAGAAAGAAGAATTTTAATGCATGTGACTTGTATAATAGCCTCCTTGTTTTATTTTTATACTGCAGGTTACTTATTTTTGGATCCTATGACAGAGAGGCAAATGTTCATTGCACACTTGAGCTGAGCAGTAGTGTTTGGGAAGAAAAACAAAGGAGCTCCATCAAGACGGTAAAATTGATTTGCATAGTTTTATATCTGTATAAAATTTGTATTCTATAAGCATGCTTTTATTAATATTTCTAGAGTTATTTTTGGTCTTGTGCAAATAATTTGTCTTGTTACAGTACACAGTATGAGCAATAAAATGAATCACATAAAAGTATAGTATTCTGATCACTTGCTTGTGTAAGAAACCAAGTTGGACTACTTTAAAATTGTTTCACAGTTATGGAATTAGAAGGAAATTGAAACACCTCAGAAAGCATGTAAATTTACCATTCATTTATTCAACAAGTATTTTATGAGCACTTACTTTGTACTAGGAACTGTGTTAGATGTTGGGGAAACAGTTCAAGAAAGAAAAAAGCCTGTTTTTGTGGTGCTGACATGGGGTGGAGGTTTGGTGTGAGGGTTAGAAGAACAGGGAGGTGACTACACGTTATAGAATGGAGGTAGAACATAGCAATACATGAGTAAACCAAAGAAGTGAGCAAAGTAATTCCCGGAGATTGACAAGGACTGTGAACAAAGTAAGGTTATGACAAAGGGGCAATGAGTTATAGGGAAAGGGAAAGCCTCTAAGGAGATGACTCTGGAGCAGGATACCCAGCTCAGTTCGAATTTCAGATAAACAGTGAATAATTTTTTGGTAGAAGCATATCTCCTATTTTTATTCGCTAAATCTCATGCTGGAGATGAGGCTTGAATTATGAAGAGGAGCAAGTCATATGGAGAGTTGAGGGGAGTGAGGGCCTGGAAGGCATTCAAGCTAGGGGGACGGAAGGTGTGGCTGAGGACCAGAAAGAAGGCTGGTTTAGCGAGAGCGTGATATGTGAGATAAAGAGTCACGCTGGATCATATAGGGCATGGAGTTGGAGTTTTACTGTTCGTGGTGTGAGAGTTTTAAGACGAGGAGGGACGTGATTGATCTTCTGAACATTTTGTAAAAAAAAAATGTCTGCCTATAAAAAGAGAGGGTTGTAGGAGGATGGAGGGTAAACCTAAAGAGAGAGCAGTTAGGAGGCATTCAGGGGAGGTGTTGGTTACTTCTCCTACGAGGTAGCCTAGGAGATGGAAAGAGAGACTGGATTTGGGCTATGCTTTTGGTGTGTGAAGGACTTAGAGTTCTCGTTTCTTTTTTGATACCTCTCAAAGCAGACTGTCACCTAAGCTGCAAGACTTTGAAAAAAATGTAAAGGCTTTTAAAAATATTTTAAGTGCTATAATTAAAAATAAACAAAACAGTGCTTTACTCTCAACATGTTTTAGTTGGGCTTGTTGGGTTCTGTGGGTTCTTAAAAGAATAAAAATTGGCACTAGTTATTAGTTAATGTGTTTCCAGAGTTGAGTTGGTGTTTTCTGAATATTCTGCATAGCAGTTTTAATATAGCAATTATATGCTTCTTGGAATGTGCATAAATCTAATAGTGTATTGAAGATTTAGAACAATTTATCCAAATGTTGTCTACAGAATTTCTTTCTTTATTAAGCCCATGAAGTTTCACATTGGAAATAGAATCTCAGAACTTAATGTGTGAAATAGAGAAAAAAAAAGTCTATGCCCTAAAGGAACCCACAACCTTTTTTTTCCTTTTAAAAAAATTTATTTCATTTACTAAGCATATACTGAAATATTATGGGTCTTGTAATAATAAAATTCCAAGAGTGCTTCTTGGAAACCCCCAAACCTGTCTGGGTTACTTCTAGTCTTTTTATTTATTTATTTATTTAAAAGATTTTACTGGGGAATTGGGGAGGGGAACACTGCTGGGGAATTGGAACAGACAAGTTGCTCTTGTTTTGTTCTTCAGTCTAGTTGTGGAGGATGTTGCTTCACTGGCCCAAGTTGGCATCATCATTGCGCTCTTCCTGGGCGAGGCAGATCAGTCGCCGGCTTCTGGACAGCCACTTACTGTGGCTGCTGGCCACTCACGCTGGCTGCTGGCTACACACGGTAGCCCATGGCAACCCACTGCCACAGGGGCTGCAGCCTACGCCGTCGCTGGCGACTCACGGCAGCCCAGCTCCAGGTTGAGCTGTTGTTCAGCATCTTAGCTGTAGAGGGCAGTGTCACTGGCCCTCATATGTGGGATCCGAACCGGGGCCCTCTGGCCTCCCAAGCCAGTTCTTAACTAACGCACCACTCGGCCGGCCCACTTCTAGTCTTTTTAAAGATAAAATCTATTTAACACGTTAGTAGGTTTTTTGTATGAATAAATTATAGTTGTATTCTTTAAAGGTGTATTTAACAACGTAGATATTTAGCTGTTTCTATCACATTTAGCTTTTGGTGGCAGTATAACCAATTGTATGATTATTATTTGTAGCCAATATTTAGGAAAACTATTTCTCTATTATATCTTCATTACACTGGTGAATAGGTGCTTTGAACTATACTTACCTAGCTGTTTTATAGTAGTAGTAATGTGCTTTTTGGTATTTCTAGAATAGTCTATTATTCTTTGTAGCGTTTTTTAAAATAGTCACAACTCTTTTTTTGTTCGTTTGTTTTTATTTGTATTTTTTTTTCTTGTCTTAGAATTCTTAACTTTTTAAATAGGCCCATAAGCATATCACCATGCTTTTGAAGAACATGACTTTTAATGGTTATGTGATATTTTTATAGATGTTCCTTTGACTTTTAAATTGTTTTCAGTGTCTTTATATAACAAGTGTTGTGAACATCCTTATATAAAAATAGAGCAATGTGAAATTCTTTTGGAATAAATAGAGTAATTTTGATTGGGGTGGGAAGGGAGGGAGAAGTAAAGAGGAAAGGGAGGATGGGTTGACCCGTAGAGTTTGAATTTATGAAAGCAGTTGGGAGCTATTGAAGATTTTGAGCATGGGAATGACATGGTCAAAATAGTGGTTTTTAGGAAAGCCCTCCCCCCTTTTTGGTGGTGGTTCATGCCTTAGCTTTCTTTTAAGTTACATCTCATCCAATTTAGAGCAATTCCTCAGAGAAATAGAATAACCAGCTTTACAGTTTGTTCTGAAATGTATAAGTACATGAGAAAGCATTATTGTTTTGTCTGGTATGAAATAATCATAACTCGCCATTGCTGTTGGCATTTTCAGTTTCCTTTATTACATGAGATTAGACAGCTTTAATATTTTATAGCAAAGGTTAGTAAGACTTTAATCTTGAGTCATAATTTTAGATCTTAGCATATGTCATAAGTAGTTTTGGAGAAATAATTCTAGGTTACTAATTACATCTGGTGTCAAAAATGTCAGCAGCAGTTAAGTGTCGCCAGGAATTAAATTACATATGTCTGAATTTAATAACTTTAGGGTGGAGAATTAGAGTGTTCTTCAAGAATACATAAAACGTTGCGGAATAGGACTTGAAAATTTGGAATATATTGTAAATTTGGATAGAAAAAAAGTGCATCATTAGAAATAAATATGGGGCCGGCCGAGTGGCGCAATGGTTAAGAACTCGCTTGGGATGCCAGAGGGCCCCGGTTTGGATCCCACATATGAGGGCCAGTGACACTGCCCTCCGCAGCTAAGATGCTGAACAACAGCTCAACCTGGAGCTGGGCTGCCGTGGGTCGCCGGCGACGGCGTGGGCTGCAGCCCCTGTGGCAGTGGGTTGCCATGGGCTACCGTCTGCGGCCAGCAGCCAGCGTGAGCGGCCAGCAGCCGCAGTGAGCGGCCGTCCAGAAGCCAGCGACTGATCTGCCTCGCCCGGGAAGAGCGCAATGATGGTGCCAACTTGGGCCAGTGAAGTAACGTCCTCCACAACTAGACTGAAGAACAAAACGACAGCAACTTGTCTGTTCCCCTTCCCCCAATTCCCCAGCACTGTTCCCATCCCCGCAATTCCCCAATAAAAATCTTTAAAAAAAAAAAGAAAGAAATAAATATGCTAAAGTATTTGATGAATTTAGAGGCTATCTTTGTAATTTATTTATTTATTTATAAATACAATCTTCAGGTTTAAATTTTTTTTTAGATGTTGAAATTTATTTAGTTAGTCACTAATTTCAATGAATGTGCAAGATGAAAGAAACTTAATTCCTTCCATATTTTAAACGTGCCTTTGAGTTTTTAAAGTATTATATAATATACCTTATGCTATTAATAGGGGAAGAGCAATAATAGATGGAAAGCTTTGGATTTATAGCAACTGCACAAATGTTGGGGGTAGAGATGGTACAGTTTTACAGTACTTGCAGCAAGTATTAGCAAAATCTCATGAATGTGGCTTAAACTAAAAAGAGACTTATTTGTCTTGTGTGAAAAGCCCTTGGTTAGTATGGCAGTTCAACAATCAAGGAGCCTGGCTTTTATTGCTTCTATCATCCTTACTATGGAGTTCTGTCCTCATGGTTGCTAGATGTCTAGGGCACCCGTAAGTATCCACCTTTCAAGAAAAAGGGTAAGGTCTAAAGCATGCCTAAGGCCCATGTCAGCCAGGCTTGATCCTTTTTAAATGCTTTCCTGGAAGCTTCTCCCAGGGATTTCCACTTATATCTCATTGGCCAGAACGGAGTCCCATGGACCCCCCTAGCAGCAGGAAGAATGGGGAATCGCCCCAGTTTTCAGCCTCTGTAGAAGTAGAAGGTGAGGGAAAAGCATCACAAATGCTTTTTAGGTGTCCAGTCCACAGTCTTGCCACAAGAAAAAAATTTAAATCTACCTGATGACTTTTTACTTTTAAGGGAATTTTTCTTAAATTGGGATATTAGGGAATAATTGACAAGAATAATTTAACAAATAACCTGCATAAACCTACATCTATCTTATTAGAAATCCAAGGTAAGTTTGGAGCAAAATGACACAGGTCAGTGCCCTACCTGTTATCTCACTTGTGAAATAAAAGAGCTCATGGGATGAATGAGGTACTTTGTGATGATGTTTGTTCTTTAAAAAGAATAAATAAGGAGAGATTTCTCATGAGAATCAAATAACATGTGACAGCTGAGGTACAAATAAATTAGATTTTATGCTTAAACAAAAATTACAGGATCATCTTGCAAGAGATCACAAAGTCAATA